GTGGTGTCTGCTCAGCACTAAAAGTTAAAAGAAGGAGGAGATGACATTTGTTACAAGGGTGTTTATTTTCTGGAGCAGCCAGTAATGAAGACCTACATCCCAGGAAGTGGCTGGACAGCACCTGCTGAGAATAATTTATTTTCCTTTGCTTCCACATGTCACTTTGCTTTAGTAAACCACTTTTGCTTTTATCTTGACCCACAAGTTTTTCCAATGATCAAAAATTTAACTGTCTGGGAATTAAATACTTCAATTTTTGAGTAAACAAAAACATTCCCTTTTCAACATCCCTCTAGCCAGACACTTCACTGTCTCTGAGCAGTAATAATTTACCTGAAAAATACCCTATAATATTTGTCTTGTGGAGGCTGGTTGCACACATGCTGACTTTGAAGCATGATGTATAACTGCAAGTGGCATGAAAAGAAATTGATGAGACAATTAGAACTTGTGAGAATGGTGGCTGCATTAATTTGTCGGAGAGAATCACTTATAAAGTATTTCAAATTCCACAGAAACCTTAAAATTTATTTGGCATCTGAAGTAGCTCCCTGAGTTGTTATTTCACAAAGCACAAAATAAACATACATAAAATCCTGACCTAGACTTCAGCCAGAGACAAATCTCCCTTTGGCTTCATGGGCCAGGATTGCAGCTGGCTTCCACCCTGGGGACTTACACACAGACACACAAATCTTGAGTATCTACTCTGATGTTTTATGGTGAGAGGTAGGTGCTTGGCTAGGAAATAGGCATACTCAGAATCTCCTCTGCTACTGACAGTGGTCAAACTCAAACAGTGCTTAAAACTGTTTGATGTCTTTGCTTTGTTTACCTGGCCTTGGATTTGCTTTCCTGGCTGTCTTCAGAACCATCTCTGGCTTGATGGATTCATTCCAAAGCAAATCAGAAATATGCCAAACGTGCACATGAACAGAAAGGACAATAGGAAGGGAAGGAGTTAGTTAGAATAATACCTCTGCTTTATTGCAGTCATTGGGGTCTGGATGCTGAAGATATTTAGTCATCCACTTTCCAGCCTAAATGCCAGGGGATGGTGGGAGACACCTGAATCTGTGGAATAGTCCGTGGATGAGTGTGTGTCCAAATGCTGCACAGCATGGACCTTGTTCTTTGTGTGGTGCCTTTCCAGCCCCTGAGATTCGGTGTGAAGTGGAACAGCTTTGGCCTCAATATGAAGAGTGTGTATGCATTCCCTACCTCTTGTGGCATTTCTTTCCATTCCAAAGCATATAATTTTTGAACAACTGCCCACCCTTTATATGACCTCTTTTTTATCATCTATTAGTCTTTTTCCTGTAAAGCAATAAAATCCTTTGCACAGCAGGAGATTTTTATGTCCACTGTGTGCCTGAGTAGCAAGTAAAGCTGGGAGGGGAAGAGGATAGCACAGTTAGCCTTGGTAATCAACTGCGCCTTGGAATCTGGAAAATCCATTTGCACACATATTTGCTCAGAGTGTTTTTGCTTTACAACTGCTACACTAGGTAGCATTTGAGCTTTCTGATTAGAAATATTGTTGCTTTGGCACACAGAAGTGTTTGGCTCTATTATTTCTAGCTGGTGTTACTGATGCACTTAGAATTCTATAGAGCTGAGGTCCCTCCTTTGTATATATTTACTTATGACCTGTCCAGTGGTTCAGATCATCTCAAGTATAAGCACTTCAATACCTTCCTTTTTAGAGATGTGTCTTTCAAAAGCCTCTCTTGTCTTATGACAACTACCTTTGTCTTTTGACAATTTTTTTGTACTAATACAAATATCTTAAATATCTTTTCTTTTGGCAGAATACTTAAACATCAACAGCTAACAGGTGTCATTTGGCAAATCACAGCTTACATGATACCTGTAGCAGAATTGGGCTCATGGCAGATGCATTGCACCTACGAGTTTCTCACCCCAAAAATTCTAGTTGTTATTTTTTATCCTTTCTGGCATTAAAATTTGTATTCAGCATTAGTATTTTGATACCGCAGGAACATCTGATAACATGAGTCATGAACCAGCCCTCATTGTTGTATTGTTAGCTGTTGTGCTTATCTCTTTCTTTCTCCTCTAGAGTGCAAGTATAACTGTGAGGAGGGGGTCATATCATTTTTGTTCCATACCTTAAGAGCTTTTGTAACATGAAGGCTTAGATCTAGAATTATAATTGTGTGGGATGCTGTATGCACAAGCAGAATGACAGCGCTTGCCAGGTAGCTTACAATGATGTAGTGAGAATTTCGCTCTTTTTTAAACTGAATGTGGACATAAAAGATGCACCTATCTCTGAAAGATAGGTACAATTAGATTGACAACTTGTATGTCAGGCTTCTTGTTGGTGTCATTTAAAATTGCTGAAACGCCGTGTTGCCACTCCCTCCCTTCTTCCATTCCCTGAAATGAGGCTTATACTGGAAATGCTGACAAGACCCTTATCATTTGAGATGGCACCATGCACAGCTTTAAATACTGGTTATAAATGTTAATGCGTTATCTGAATGATATTTTTTCCACATGTAGGCAGCTCAGGATAGAGTCTCAGTAATAAATTTAACGAGTTCAGGGGGAAGACGCAGTATGCTTATGTGAGTATTGTAATGATTGGCATTTTTGCAAACAGCATATGATAAGTGGTGCAATTTTATTTTCAAAGTTTAATCAATAGAGAGCTCTTTGATATTGCCATGTACTTTGCAAATAGATGCTTCCTTGAGATGACAACAAAACAACTTCTGTTTCATGGTGTGTTTACGCTTAGGGTTTAATCAATCTGCTTTAGTGATTGTCATAAATTTTGATATTCCAAAAATTAAATAAGGGCTATAAAATAATTATGCTTCATGGTGGCGTCCTTTTGCTGTTAGCCTGGGTCATCTGGCTTCACAAATGTCGAAAAGGACTCAAAGTCCATCACTGTGCCAATTACAAGAGCATGGGCTATGTACCAGTTTATTCTCATTTATTGTAAACCCACACCAGCTGTTGTAGAGGAAATTGAGGTGGATCTTCAAGAGCTTAAGAAGGACTTTATGAATGTCTTGTGTTAGCTTTCGGGAATGAATTTCCTGTCAGATAAGAGGAGGCAGAAATGACCCCTACGTTTCTCTGCAGCCTCCCCCATAATTTTGATCCACATGGGTCACAGGAGTGGCTGCAGCTCCTTCTGTGTGAGCACAGTAGTGCAAACCCCCCAGAGCAGCTCCTTCAGTGAGCCCCAGCACCAGCACTGGTGCTCCCCAGGGAGGCTGAGAGGAGCAGAGCATCCCTGGCCTTTCTTTGGGACATTTCAAACCAGCAGAGAGGACTTTGGGGGATTCCCACTGCTCTGGGTGAGCTTTGTTCTTGCTGAGCAGAGCCCCACGGGCTGTGTCTCTTTAGTTCTTGGAAACAACAGTAGCACTGGAAAGCGGAAGCTGGAAGATGATTTCGCAAGCATTTGAAGGCTGACCATGTCCACACGGAGCTGTGGTGCCAGCCCAGCTTGTCCTCCCTGTTGCAGCAGATACTCCTGCTGGCCCCACAGGAGCAGTCCCAGGGAAGCCTGCCTGGAACACTGTAAACGATTGATTGGATGTGGCAGCAGAAGGACACACTCCATGAACTCGGAGATAACCTTTGGCAGGGAATTCTCTCTGTCACTCTCAGCCTCTCTGATAAAAATACAGTAACTGGTAGGCTTTTGGGAAACGAGGAAGCTGGAGCCTTTCAGGTGATTTAACCTGAATGTAGCAGAGTGCCACGAGCACTGAGGCAGAACCTCCAGAGATGGCAGCAGGAGATCTGTGCCAGGCACCACTGCAGGGAATGACCCTGTGGGATCCTGATCTCAGCACAGAAATTCCTCCAGAGCCATGAGGGGTTTTGGCAGGCTGACAACAGTGTAAGATCAGGGTGTATGTGTGCTGTGCATACCTGATGAGTTGTTGTAGATGCCTGTGAAAAAAAAATTGGTCTTTGAACATTTGTTTTTAACAGTTTTTACTTGCAGCAAGAAGACACTGTTTCAACATCAAGATACTGCAGCTTCAGCTGGAGTTCCACTTATGTTCGTACAAAGATTCAAAACAATGTCATAGAGAGAGCAAAGTGGTTTTACTCCTTTTTATACCATTTTGTTTTGTAATATGTGTATGTGTGTGAGCTTTGTATGTGCAAATATATACATGTAAGTACGTACATCTGCTTGTTTAAATAACTGGAGTTGTGCTTTGCAGTCCCTTAACCAACATCAGTTGCTGTGCTGCCTTTGTAAATATGCTGTAATGGCTGATTCTTTTGCATTCTTTGTGCTGGCCTTGCTTATGCTGAATAGCAGCTGACACTTTAATTGGGATGGCTGAGCTCAGTGCATTTGCCTTTGGAATTGGACACTTTTCAGTGCAAAGAGAGTGTACCACAGACTGACTCTTCTGCCTTTATCCTCAATCAAAACTCCATTAAATCAGACCTATAGTTTGTGGCATTCTCCCTGGGACATTCTCCCTTGCATTGAAATCCATGGGAAAGGCTAGAGACATCGTTTTTAAGGTTAATTAGGTCCTGAAAAGAATTAACTGGATTTGTTTTCTCTATATTTTTTCTCCTATTTTTAAGAAATTTTTTAATTACCTTCATCTTTGTTGGTATATTCAGATACACTTTTCCCTTTATAGGAAAAAATTTACATACTTTTGTGTTTATTAAAAGCCATTTTGATAGACAGATTCTAATTCTCATTTTAAACAAAAATTAGTATAGTTCTTGACATTGTGTTAAAATTTAGGCATCAGATATTAACATATATTAATGTGAGTTGTACAGTTAATCTTTATTTTTGTTTGACTGACTGCTAACATTATTCACTGCTTAAGCACTAAATGTGAATTTGATTTCCAGTTGGCTACACTGTGGAAAATAAAGGAACAAATAGTTTAGGGTATGACAATTCAAAAATTCTTTGGTGGAGGTGGCAGTCTCAGAAACCAATTTTTTTTTTTCAATATTGTTTTCAGGTTCCCATAATGAATCTGCTGTGGACCCTACTGTTGATTAAGAAAGGTAAATACTCTCCTTTGGCTTTTGGCTGCATGAAAACATTTCTGTATCAATATGATAACAATAGTTTAGTGACTGGCCTGTGGGCCAGGAAAAACAACCCCTCTGTGTCCCTAAAGAGGGTTCCCAAAGCCTGCCTAACACTGCCAGCAGAGGCAGTCTCCTTGTAGAAGACCATGCAAGGTTTGAGGCAGGAGAAAATTGTTGGCTGGAGTCAGACTCATAACTTTCTTCTTTTTGTTACTGAAAATAGAGCTATTTATCATGCTTACCCTTCAATGTCAATATACATGAAGAATAGAATGTGTTGTAGGAGGGAGGAGGGAGATATCAACTTGTTCTTTTACTCAATTTTAGATGAATTGATTTTGCAGGGGAGTAAATTTGTATTTGTAGTCCTCCTCCCCATTCCAGGTTTCCTTGTGTTGCATTCACTTCCAGCCCTTTCTCCCACATCTCTTCAGAAATAACTGGCTTCTTAGTTATTTTCAGTAAAATTCAATTCTCTTAACCCTTAGCAACAATCCAGGCAGGAGAGGGTTTGAGCAAGTTCAAGAAAGACCCTACAATGTCAGAATAATAACATGGTTCTTCTCATTCTAATGGCATTCCTTGCTCCTTGTTAGATTAAAGAAGTTTTCTGTGACTTTTTTCCTCTTGCTCTACAGCACACTTCAGTCCAAAAATGGCAACGTTCTCCATGGACTGCAGGATTTTCTTCTTGATTCTTTTCTTCTGTTGTTATGATCTCTTTTTTCTCATCTTAGCTCTGGCTTTTGGTTTTACATCTGTTGTGCTGAATGTAAAATGTTTGGAAAGAGCAAGAATTAACAGAGACTGACAAGGTATATTTCAGATCAATCATGTCACACAAAAAAATATTAATAAAATAATAGTCAGACTATAAGAGGCACAGAAGAGGGAGTTGTGGGAATGCTGAAGAAAAGTGGGGCAAACTCCAGTTATAGAGCGTGGCTTGGAGATCCTGCTCTTCTGTCATGTCTGATATCCACAAACTCTCCCTCAAAGCCACAGTGTGGTGGTTCCCAACAGGGCAAAGGCAGGCAAGCAGAAGCTACTGTAAGAACACAGGTCCTTGCATTTTTCTTGGTGTTTCAGTGCTTTATTTGCATGAGCACCCACTGGGTTCAGCGCCAATGACCCACTGGAGGTGCTGAATTAATGAAGCCATAGAGTCAGTCAAGCTTGGCTTCAGAAATTATTGGGACCATTACTAGATCTTGGAGTTTTACTTGTTCATCCCAGCTGTATTTCACTCTTATGAAATACACTGAAGCCTTTCACACCTGCTGCCACCTCAGAGTTCTTCAATACAGCCTCATTTGATGCTGCTTCAGGCATCCAAGAGCATCAGGAGAGTCACTGATTTCAGCCAGCCTCCAGAACATCCTCAAATCCTGGCATTCCTGCTCTCATAGCTTTGGGGTGCTGCAGGAATCAGTTGACACAAACAAACACAAACAGATTAACTGGAGGTACAAAGCACTGAGGTATGATTGTTCACAATTATTTAGTGAATTTTAATGGCAGCTGAGTCATGGATTCCCCCTGTGGCTTTGAAATTGCCAGAAAAATAAAGTGGTGGGTTTATTTGACATTCAATGCAGAACTACATTTGGTATCTGTGCTCAGGAACCTTGACAGTGGCTCAGAAGCCCCTTGCTCTGAGCAGGGGCAAACACAGAATAGGGTGGTCATTGATCCAGGTGTAACTGCGAGTGAAAGTTTCCTTGATGACATTGGTAGCAGAACACAAAAGCACAAACCCAATCTGTTAGATAATTTCTTTTGCAGAAGTTGCAAAACAAGTTGGTTGGTTGTTGTTTGGATTCCATACAAGGGAGTGTCTGATAAGGAGTTGTTTTTATGCTAAGTCAAGATATTTTATGTGATTGCTTAGACTCAGAAGAAAGCTGTATTAACAGACCTTAGCAAGTTGTGGAACTAAAGCCATCCTTTTCTGGCACCTCCCAAAAGCAGTGTTTTACCTTGCTAACTGGCAAAATGCCATCTGAGCAGGGCAGCTGAGGCAGAAGACAAATACTGTGGCTGGGTTCATCTAATGTGTTTGTTGAGGTCAAATCTCCTGGAAGGCAGTGGAACAGAGGTGCCGTGTCCTGAGTTTCTGAGACTTCACCTGCTAATTGGATAGACTGTCTCTGCCTTAGTGCTGATCAGAGTTAATGCCCAAGATCAAAAGATAGCTCAATGAAGATAAATTTGCAGCATGAGAGAATTTGCCATGTATTTAAGTTACTGAAATACAGAATAAGCGGGGCACTGGTATTATGTAGGTGTGTGTAAGAGTGTTGTTAGGTAAGATCCTGAGGCACTCGTGGAATCTGAACAGTTGGACATAGGGTTTAAGGAAAATTAAGTGTCCTAATTTGTGTTTGAAGTTATAAGCTCTTCCCAATACATTAAAATTCCTCCTTCAAATTCTCTAGAAATGATCCCACATCCCTAGAACATATCATAGGACTTTCTGATTGCTGTGGAATTTTTCCACCACCATAAGACATTGTAAAACTGAGACAAAACTGGTTCTGCAGGCCATATTTTGTGATACAGGGAATTCTGACTGCAAAAAAATCAGAGGAACTCCTGCCACACAGGTGTAGGAATGAGGAAGCACAGTGTTTGGGATAGTATCCCTCCTTTTACAGTAGTCAGCAAAGTTTTCTCAAACCCCTTTTCTTGCTATTCAGACACTTTAGGATATATGGCAGGTGAAGGCTTTTGAAATAGAGTGAAATCTAGCTTGGAATCATGGGGGAGCTTTATTTAAACCAGGTTATGTACACACACAATTCCTATACCAACAACATACTTTTTGCCCATAGGAAAAGAAAAGTTTTCTCTAAATTTGCAGCCAATACACTCTGTTTGCATGTGTTACACTTTCAGGGCATCAAGCAGTGATCAGCAGGCTAAGGCTGGAGGGGACTGACACTTTCTTTGTGCTGCAGAACCTTCTTATGAGGTGTAAGACTACAAGGAGACACGGAGATTGCTGAGGAGGTCTGTACAGGTAGTGCTCACCATCCTCTGAAGGGAAGAAGAATGGTTATGCAGAGCATGAGAGCCACTGTTCAAGGTAGCTAGAGCCAAGCTAGGGTCCAGCAGGAGCCTATTGTGGTGTGTGTGTGTTCTGCTGCCTCATTAACAGCTCTCATTGTGCCTCCAGTGCCCTGACCCTTGATGTCCTGTGAGCATGAGGATGCTTTCAGGTTTTTGCCTCATCTACTTCTTCCTGGTCAGGTGGCCTGTAGCAAACACTGACCAAATGTCACCCACCAAGGGCTGCCCTCTGGTCCTGACCTCCTGTCAGGTGGCTCATCACCTGCCCCAAGGTACAGACAGCTCCTTGTGCCCCAGTTGTTCTCTCACATCAAGGGATCTCTTCAGCTTTAATGTCCTGTCCTGTACTTCCTGAAGATCCATCCCTGGCAGCCCTCCATGGCAGCTGACCACTCCCCTCCCTTTCTTACAGCCTCTTGCACTGCATTGCTGCGGTGCCAGCGAGATCACAGCTCATCCCAGAACCTTTGTGGCTCCTGTTTGTCCCCTGTAGTGTACAGGCACTTACTGGGGATCATTGTGAACCACAATGAACCAGTACCAGGCGTTGCACCCTGCCCAGACACGTGTCCAGCAGCAGGGCAGCTGCAACAGAGGCCAGCCAGCCCCAGAAGGACTTCTTGACCTGCACAGCTCCACTGAAGCAGTTGACATTGAGGGGCAGACACTTTCTCAGTGGCTCAGACACCTGCTCCAACACTTTGGTTGTGCTGCCCTGCACTCGGGCAGGTGTGTGAGCCCTGCTGCCTGTTGGTGTGGTGTTTCCAGGTGTACCAAGAGCATAGGATTTACCAAAACCATGACCTGAGCCCTCAGTGCAGCACTCATTAGCAGCAGGCTCAGCCCTTGGCTCTCCCTGGTGCATACTAAAGACTTGTTTTCTTCCTTCCATGGGAATTGTCCCCACACGCTGCATCCTCAGCCACTCCTCCTGTGGGGTGCCCAGGGCACTGAGCAGCACCCAGGGCACCTCAGAGGTTTTAGTGGGTTACAGATGATCCCATGTACAAGGGGAAAAAAGGAAACTCACTTGTTCAGAAGACTGTGCACAGGATTTATGATAAGTAAGATTTTGCTCTTTTTTCCTCTTAGTGTGCAGGCCCTTTTTCATAAGTTCTCTGCTGCCTCGGGTTGAGACAGGATGCCCTTTATGCTGGCAATATGATGCTATGGAGCTGGCAGCCTTCCTTTTTCACAGCCCCACACTAAATGCAGGGCAAGCAGGCAGGGGAAAATAAATCTGAAAAGGGAGAAGGTTGTGCTGTTCTAGTTTCCCTTCCCCTCTTTTCTGCCTGCTCTTTTCCTCAGGTCTTTTGCCCTGCTATAAATGCAGGTAAAAGCCTCCAGTCACAATGAGCAAAATGAAGAGAGCCACGGGCTCAGGCAGTATGTATCTACTCTAATTTCTCTTTTCTTTCTTCTAGTAATCCAGACAAGACTTGCATGTTTTCTGCTCCATTCTTTGGGTCAAGAACACACTGGTTAATAGCCAATTATTTCATACCCTAAGGAAATTTTGGCAAAGAAGTTCCTGGGAAGAGTCAACTTGTTTTGGGAAATGAGACTAATATTCTGTAAGTGAGATATTTCCATTTGCTCTCTTTTGCGGTAGTGTCCCATCTCAGCACAAGGCTGAATTTATTGCTGTAATAGCTGTGATTCAGACAAAGCATAATCTTTTCCCAGAGTTGGTTTTTAGTTTTTTTTTGTTTTTCACAAAAAGTGAAGTTTTAGCCAGGATACTATAGCAAAAATTTCAGTTAGGTAATTAAATTCTACTTATTAAAAATTTCCCTTTTAAAATTGATCCCAAACCACTGGTTGCTTTTCCTTTGAGCACTTTTAAAAGGTTAATTCACTTTAAATTCACAGCTTTCCAAAGTCTGAAGCCTGCTGAAATTTTTCTGGACTGCTTAAACCAGAATGTGCAGTCCCAGCTAAGATATCTAAAGGTACATTTTTGCATGTTTAATTGTTGTTGTTTGTATTCTTGATTAGACACAACTCATGTAGACTCAACCTATGACTAGCAGAAGTAAACAGAGTTATTTGCATAGGAAAAACAAGCATTATTTAAAACTATTTTTTAGTATGAGTAGCAGAGACCATGAATAAATTCAATTTGTATATCAAGGGCTGTTTTACATGTACTAAAATCCAATAGTGAAAAAATAGGCTGAAAGATAATCTGAGGCAAACAGTCTGGAACAGCAACCCAGAACAGATGATCCACAGTATAAATTACTGCAATTTATTTTTTTAATTTACTTGTGCTACTTTATTATTGTTTATTCATTTGATAGATGGCATTTAATTTCAGTTTGAGAGCTTCAGGATGAGTGTTTGATGCTAGTGGTTGGAATTTACTCCTGGGCACAAAGCCAGTGTGCCACGGCCATGTTCCAGTGATGCCCTCCAAGCTGTGTTTTAGTGGCCTTTTGTTGCCCTTGGGGTATGTTTTACACAGGAAGCTTAAAACCTAATGCAGGCCTGCAGCTCACTTGCTGGAGCAAGAGAAAGATGATTTTCTCTCTTTCCTGGTCTCTGCAGCAAGAAAATCAAATTATTGGATTACTGGCCCTTCGATTGTGCTCAGCGCAAATAGTTCAAAAGCCCATTGTACTGGAGACCTTTGAGATGAAATGTAAATGGATAAAGAAAACAAATGCATTAAATTGCTCTAATATGTCAATAGTGTGCTATTACCTGATTAAGTGAAATGGCTATGACTGTTCTTCTAAACAGCCTGATCTATGTAAGACATCTGCTGCTAGACTGGCCACGTGAAAAAACAAACAAAAAACCAACAAACCAATAAACCCAAAAAGGCACCCACAGGAGCCTACTAAGGCATAAATTAATGCAGATTTTCTTTCCTTGCTTATTTTTATTTCTGGAAAAGAAAATCAAAGCAAGCAGATCAATTTTGTGCAGGGTTAAAATTGCAATTACCCAGGGATCTGTGCAGTACATGAAATATTTGGGCTGATAGATTAGAACCTGATGCTGTGTTCTACATATACCTTTGTATACATTGGCTTGAACTTTAAATTTCCTGCTTTCTGCCACTTTTTTTACTTGCACATGTGTTTTATGTATTTATTTAGGGCTATTTCCTATTTGTTACAGTGTATTTTTAAGACATTATATCAGCTAAGAGTGGGAGACGCATCTAATAGATTTTAAAGTAGGTTATTGTTGTAATTTTTGTGCATATTCACACATACATATCATTATTCAAATGTCACTCCATTGTGCAGAATAAATAGGTCCACAGGAAAGTGTAGGTAAGATAAATTCATGTACTTTACAAAGTGGAGAAAACTTCTTTAACAACCAAGGATTCAATTCTTCCATTTCATATTAGGCTGGTGGGTTTCTCTACAAGTTTCTTGTTAAAATTGTTATCTTACTGTCCTTTTTGTATTTATGTGTCCACAGAGCCATAAATAGCTATTGAAACACAGTTTTTACTGTCACTGTCACTGTGTTTGCATTTCTTTCACTCCACAGTTTTGATGAAATCAGGGTAGCACTTGTGTGCAAGTGCCAAATATGTGAGCACATATTCTAATGACTTGGGTTTCAAATGGAGCCTCCAAAACTGACTGATAAAATGCACATTAAACTAGAGGCTGAGATACATTTTTGTAGCTTGTTGATATTCTAGCACATACTGGTATTCATAAGATAATAAATGTGAAATGGATTTGATGCTTACCCACCTGAACATTCTGAGTTAAAAAAAAATAAAAGAGATTGATAGACAATGCCTTCTGTCTTTTACAACTAATAAGCTTCTAGTTCATTAAGTTATTACATGCCATTTCTCATCTGAAAAATATAATCCATAATTCAGTTTTTCCCAGAGTTTCACATTCTTTAATTCTACAGAGTAAATCACCAGAGCACATTTTGTCAATAAAGCTTCTGTTTGGTAGGGGAAGGAGGGGGCAGTTAAGTAAAGTAATATGAAATGCAATCTGTTCTTTTTGTCAGAGGTCATTTATTTGCTTCAATGTTGCTTTTATTCTATTTATACATTCACTAAATTATGATTATTGTGGAAAGTCCATGGTTATTTACTTCATTATATTTAAAATGTTTTACATTTTGTTGCAGGCTCTTACACTTGGGAATCTTTAGCATTATCTTCAGAAGTAAACTGTGCTTTTGCAATGAATCCTTGACAATGTATTAGTTCAGCTCTGCATTTACTGAGGGATAAAAGCTTTCTTCTGTGAGCAGTGGGAAAGCCACAGAGGCAAACAAAAAACCAGCCATGTTCTGCAGCCCTGAACCAAAAGACTTGTCACTTCCTGAGCCAGAACTGCCCAGCACAGATGCAGGCAGCCAGTGACACCTTCAGCATGGAAAGTTATATGGGACTAATTTGTGTCCTAGACCAAGGTTCCAGCACTGCTCTTCTCACCAGGGCTTGAGGAGGGATTGCTGTGCTCTGTGTTGAGTATAATATATGGTATCTATTTGCAGAAAATACAACCTGGTGATAAAATGCTTGCCTAGGGAGTGGGATAGAGTGGTCCAGGCTCTTCACAGCTTGCAGCTATTTAAACCCATTTTTGCTGTCCAGAGAAACAGGCAATCATGACAGGGGGAGAAAAAAGCAGTGTGCCCTGCCCTCCCAGCCCTGGCATTTGGGTGGATGCTGTGCCAAGGTTGTAGCTGATGAGAGCAGTGAGAAAGCACTCCCTAAGGAGGGGCTGAGGCTGAGAGCTGGCAGGGGGAGCAGGGCAAAGAGGCTGCCCTGCAGTTTAGTTCTGTTTTGGGGTGGGGTAACCATTGCATTACCTTCCTTGGGGAGGTGTTGCTCTAACCCTGGGCTGGCTCAGAACCTGATTTCTTCCCTTGTCTGCCCATATTCTGATTACAGCCTGCCTTTTTCCTTGCAGTGGAAATTAGCAGTTGTGAGCAGTTGTCATTTTCAGCAGAGGGAGAAGCAGCCATTCCCTGCCCCAAAGTGTCCCCTGGGTGTATGGTTCAGTTTCTGCAGGCATCCAGGAATTAGTGTCACCTCTACAGGTGAACGAAAGTCAGAGTCAGTCTGAGTAAGGAGGGAAATGAAGGAGGGTAGCACTGAGCAGGAATATTCAAGCCTGCACACTGCTGGGAGGAGGTGTTGTGTAACATTTTAACCAGTCCAGATTGGTCCAAAATGCTCTGACGCTGTATTATTGTACTTTCCTATGGGCTGGTACTTCTCATTATATTTTTAGTTAACAAATACAAAGGTGATTGTTGCAACTGAAGGATAATGGTGCCTTTGGAAAGCACTATTTTAAAATAAAATGTTGTAACATGGTGCTAAGACAACAATCTAATGGGGTTACTGCTCATGACAATTGCTGACTGTGAATTATAAATGAGAGAAAAATGGGAAACATTATTTCAATGGGAAATGTAATAAATGAAAATAAGCCAAAAGTCTTTAATTGATCCTTTCCCCAGAGATCACTCAGAAGTATTCTCATGCTGAAAAATCCATCTTTGAAGAAGATGCAGTTCCTGTGTGTTCAGTCTCTGCAGTGGTCCCTGACAGCTACAGCAGAGCAGGCACTTCTAGACCCACACTGGTGCTCACTCTTGGGCTTGAAAACCCTGTTCAGGATATATCCTGTCTTCCCAAAATGGGAATTATGCTGCTGGGGCTGTGTTAGTGCCCTTAGCTAACCTCTGAAAGGAAGAGTCCCTAGACCATCATGGAAATGAATGAATCAACAATGCTTTTGCCTTATCAAAGCAGTTGTAAAATCTGATTTTTCTAGATAGCTAGGTAATGAAATATTCAGTATTCTGATGGAGTTTTTTAACCCACTGTCACTCTTGTCCATGACTGTAGCCTATATAAATTGATTAGCAGTTTATTACTTTTGTACTTAATATATAAAAATTAGCAATGAGCTGGAAACACTGAAAATATTTTCAAGAACCAGAGAAGCAGACTGGTAGCTGTGAGTCTTCTGTGACTACTGACACCTCCTGAGAGACCCTTACACTGAATTTATCCAGGACTTTTGAGCTTGTGTTTTATGTTCAAATAAATAAATAAATAAATTTATTATCTTTCAGCTTGTTGCTTTTTTATCGGGGAAAATTTTAATGAGAAAGTTTAGCTCATCAGTGTTAAGTTTTCTATTAATTAGGTGAAAGTGATTTTCTTCTGCATGCAGTTTCTGTTATCTGGCACTCCTGAGCTAGTGGGTAGCATCCACAAATAGTGCTGTCCTGCTTTAATCTTTTCAAAAAACAAAAAAAAAGAAGGTCTAAGAAGTTATTGACTACTATAGAATTTACATTCTGTGGGAACAAGTAAAATGACATTTAAGAGCTGCATGTTGTTTCTGTAATTCCAGAACTGGAATAGATATGCTCAGCCTTTCTGCTGTAGTATATACTCTTTCAGTAACCAGACAATTTATGATGCAAAATAATACATTTGACAGCATAAATGAGTGATCTGGTCACATCCACTAACTTAAGCATGTGGTTTTGCTCATTGTTATAAAAAACAAACCAAACCAAATTTCCATTCCTAGCCAAACCAACACTCATTCCTGGCCCACTAGTTATTTTTTCATGGTGGTTGTTTTTTATTTTACAGGCCTATAAAGTGCTGCTATGGAAGTCACTTTTTTTTCCCTACTGAGTGAATAAATTACAAGTCCTGGAGCAGTGCTCAGTGTGCTGTAATTCTTGGCTATAACATCTATGAGATATGTTTAAACTGAATGATCCACTGCTCAGAGGAGTGATGGCTTCTTTTATAGCCCTCTTGTTCCTGCAGACAGTAAACCACTCAAATAGACCATGAAGACAAGGGCAAGCTCAACATATTCTCATCTTTCCTGGAGTTGCATGTACTTTTGGCTGTGCTGTGGGACACCTTACACCTCACACTTTCAGGACTAAGTAGTCTTGGCATTAGTGGTGGTTTTGGTTTTTTTTTTCTCCAGTATCTATTTTGAATTATAAAACTCTGATGATTTCTAGAAAAGTTTATACCTCTCTCTGAAGCAGATACAAGCTTCAAACTCATATGTAACCTATATGTATAAAAACCACTTTGAAAGATGTTATTGTTCCTTCCAGTGTTTTTTTCTCCATCTGCACAGAAAATGTTTTTCCACTCCCAGGCAGACTCTTCTGTTCCTACCTCTTATATACTCAGTCACTTGTAAATGCAGAGCATTATTGTACAGAAGAAGCTTTTTCACAGACTCCATGACTTTGACAATTACACTTATTGTAATTTTTTCATCTCTCCTGTCCTTCCTGACAGATCCTGCAAGATTATTTTATCCATTATGTGACCTTCTTACTTGACATTCCTTTGTCATTGCTCTGAATCCAGGCACAAAGGGCTGAAGAAGGTTGGGGTGTGGAGGAAGGGAGAGGCCAGGATTGTTACCCACAGCTCCCAAAGCAGGTGTGCCTGGGCAGGGCTGGGCTCTCACACTGCAGCTAAGGTAATTGCATTGCATATCTATTTAAATGCTAAAGAATAACACATGTGCTCACACCCTCCTCATGGGTTAAACTGTCTTTCATTCATAGGAGCAAGGTGACATATAACCCTTTCTTATACTCAGGCTGGAAGTTGTGATTGAAAATCCCCACTCTCAATACCTCTTGCCCAGACTTTACTGGGTTTCTACTAGTGAGTAGTATGCTTTATAATTTTACTGTTTTCATGTATTTAAATATAATGTCTCTTTAGCTACTAACTTTATTTTCCTGTTTAATTTATTCTCCAGATTCTCTGGCCTTCAGTCAATGCACTGAGTGATTAAATTATTATCCCAGTAATGAGATTTGACACAATCTATGCCAGTTACCTGTGTGACCTGCTAAGTAGGTTAATTGGCAACCCTGAATAATTATCACCCACCTCATCTTGCTGACTGAGAGTCTGACAAATAAATGAAACATAAAAATGCTGAAAATGACACATCATTTTTAATTTCAACTTCTGAATTGTTTCAAAGAAGCCTTTTACTTAGTAGCTTATTAATAAAAGTAAGCAATTGAAAAAATACCTTGTGAACATACTGGTTTGATTAATATGTAGATGTTTGCTCTTGTGCATCAGCAAAGCTTCCTAGAGGAAAAAGAACTCTGTGGCATATTAGAGGAACAGGTCCCTCTATTCTGCAAATTGCTTATATAAGTCAATTGTTGCATCCTCAGAGACACTGCTCAAAAGTGAGGAAAATTCAAGAAGTCAGTGATATTTGTGGTGACATTGCAAGAATTGTGTTTTAATGCTTTTCTGTGAAATCTTGAGAACTAAAAATTAACTTTATTGTTTAATGAAAGCTGTGATCCTTCTATTCCCATTTCTCAGGAAAGAGAGTTAAGAAAAATAAATATGGTACTTGGTGATGCTGACTTGTGTTGTGTATCTAATCTTTTCTACTTTGCTCACTTCTGAAAAGCCAGGATGGTATTTCTTTCTGTCCTAGAAAATGTAAGATTGGGGCTTAGAGAGGAAAAATAATGGACTCCTACAGATGAGAAGATGAGTTAAAAATTTAAACTTGTGGTCTTTTCACAAGATAATCAGCTCAAATTAATGGTTCAGAACCACAGATTTAGTCAGACTAAAAAATTTAAACTTGTGGTCTTTTCACAAGATAATCAGCTCAAATTAACCACAGATTTAGTCAGACTGCTTCCAAAATGTTTCCTCTGCCCTGGCCAGAAATCTCACCAAAACTTTGAGTAGAAAGATCAAAGAATTCATTTATTGTTATCAGCAGTTAATGACTGCAACATAATGTGTCTTCGGAGAGGCACTTTGGAGAGGGGGAGCTGCTCTGCCCTGTCCTCAGGAACTCCTGTGGCACAGCTGGTGGTCCTGAGCTGGTCCTTTTGCACTGGGACCCTGCAGCCTGCAAGCACAGGCACCACTGATGGAACCACACAAACAAGCATTAAAGAGAGGGTTATTTTGGCCCAGTTACATCAGCTTATCACGTGCCATGTCTCACAATTTCAGCATGGTTTTCCATTAAATAAAAGCTTGCAACATCCCAGTGTCCTATCCCCTCTGGCTGCCATTTAAATTCCTCTTTTTCAGCCCCTCTATTTGCAAAAATAGGTTTCCTTTTCTAAGCTCATTCCATTATGGAAAGCAGAGTATGCAGCTTGCTGTGTCCAGAATGGATTTTTCAGGTAGATAACACATCCAAAGCCATTCCATCTTTCAGTTTGCTGTTTCACAGGCTTTCAAGTGGGGTGATACAATTCAAGAGAGGATACTGATGAAATCACACTCAAACCAGAGTCTGAACAAGACAGCAGAGCTCAGCTTTTGGGAGTGAGTCATGTTAAAACCAAGCATATGCTCAAGTGTTTTGCTGGATCATGGCCATATTGAACTATAATGACCTAAATGGATTTACTCCCCAGATAAATTTACCCTTTGCTTTCCTCCTGCCCACACATACATTTGCACCTCAATCAATCACTTACATCTCCTTCTATTTCCTACATCCTACTTTTATGAAAAATTTTATGACTTGTTTAATCTCTTCTAAGCATGGCTTTATTTCCTCTATTGGTTTCCTTGATAATTTATCATCAGGGCTTTTTTGCCCCTACCTAGAGGTTTTCAATTTTAGTGTAGAAATTTAATAAAAACAAATTTGTAAAGGCTTGTTAAAGGAGCTGTACTGTCTCTTTGTTCTCCTTCATCTAAATCCCCATAAAAAGACAAAGGTGTTGAAGAGGCACATCAGGTAAACTACTGCCTACAAATGGCAAAAATAACATCTTGAAGCTTTCTTTCTGTGAATTTTTTTTCTGACATGTGGTCTTTATGTCTAAAATTATAGGCATTTAGATGTCAGGTAGCAGGAGAGAGAAAAAAATAAAACAGGTATTGTAGCAAAATATCAAAGAACAGATGCATTGGTGGTAGTTATAAGGTGTTTTATCTCTCAAGAATTGCCCAACTTTATAAAGCTTTTATCATACCTGATAGAAAATTAAGGGCTGCTGATATTTTGCAATTCATTGCCCATTGCTTGTTGATTACATAATTGTTATTGAATGAAGGAGCACTGTGAGGTCCTGTGAGAAGCTAAGCTGACATGACTTCTGTCTTTCCTTTTTATTACGATAGTCAATAGCTTAGTTGTAAGGAACAGAATTGCTCTTTGTGACTGTATTAGACATTCTTCTGGGAGAGCTAGCTAAAATTTGAGAGCAGAAAAGCATTTCTGGAAAAAAAAAGAAACAAAAAAAACCAACCCAGCATGCCAGACAAATCAATAAGTGGATGGAGCCGAGTCTGAGACTTTGGGGTTGGGTTAGAACCTAAATCAAGACACTATTGACTCTGCAAAGCCTGTATTTTTAGGGGTGCCTATATGAAAATCAATATTGCCTTCCTGCTTTATTTGATAACTTCTATGCCTTTGTGCAAAAAATCCATTTTACAGTTGTATTTCTTCTCTTGAGCTAAAGTCTTCTCTTTGGTATGTGTGACCTGTGTACTGTGGCTCTGTGTAAATTAACAATAGGTGGATTGTGTGTGATATCTGTCACCACTGTTCTCCAATGATGACATTTGTCAAGGAAATGAAATATCTCTGTAAATTCTTTGCTGCATAATTTATGCACAACTCCTATATGTGAGTTCTCTACAAGCTGCTCACCATTACCTCAGGAATAACTATTTTATTTTCTGGAGAAAGGATATAAGCATACATTGATCTTCAGAATGTGAGAGCATAAGCAGTGGGCTTTAACAGTGGGCTTTAATGATCTAATGCTTTGCATTTTTGCAGTTTCCCATCCAAGATCTTATTGCATCCAATATCACATTATTTAAATGCATCCCAGCTTTGTGAAAGGTAGATTTTGTAGTCCTGTTTTGTTAGATAAAGCTGCAAGGACAACTGAAATTTTACCTGTCTGTGCTTTAAGTTAGGCAAGAATCTTTTGCTTGTGCACTTGGCTAAAGTGTTTGGACTGGTCCTGACTGTTCAGTAAGCTCAGCCAGGCTTAATATTTTAAGAAAAGTTATATTGTTCATGAATGATTTGTGATCTTGAATGATTCTTCTGGGCCATTTTTCAGAACTAGTTTGTGCTGGCCATGTCAAAGTAGACCCAGTGAAAGCCTGCCTCTTTGTGCACCTGCCTATATAGACTTGTCCTAAATACATCTGAAAAAGAGACTTATGTATCTTTGAACATTTAGAGTGGAGTTGATGCAGTATTAGGTTGCTATAAAGCCACTGAAAATTCTGAACCTAGTCTCTGAAGTTAAACCATCAATCACACCATATCCAGGCCCCCTGCATTCTGCAGGTTTTGGAATTAAAAAGCATTGCTGAAATTTTACTTAACTGGTTTTTGAGGCACTCCTCCTGCATTCCCAGTGAGCTCCTTGTGGTAGAAAAATGCATCTGTCACAGGTAACATTTCCTCTGATTTTTGCTTGTGCTACTAGCCTTATCTACCTCATAAGTACTCTGTGTGTGGCGTTTATGAAATATTATCCAGGTATGGTATTTAATCTCTTTACAAGAGAGAAAAAAACACAATGCACTTACTCAGCAATTCCATCTGAATTATGCTTTTGTGATCCGATTTTCTGCCTCTTGATACCACCAAATTATTACTTCAGCAAAACTGTCTGCAGTGCCAACACACACACAGATGAAGTCATAATAGCAGTTCATTTTACACATGCATATGCACAATCCTCCAAATGGCGTTCCTAAGAATAGAGTTTTGAAAAGCTCCTTGATAACGTGAGTGTGAAAAGGGTTTTTGTACAATCAATACTCACATTCTGCTTGCTGCTTGGTATTGATTGCATCTGCTTTTGCAGGATATAATGTATATTTAACTGTATGAAATAATTATATTAATTACTGGACCTGTGCGTCAAATAAAATGAAAATTCTGAATTAATAGCTGTATTTTCTTTTCCTTTCCTTTCCTTTTTTTGATACGTTTGATATCTCAGAGTTAACATCAACTATTTAACTGCATGAAATAATTATATTAATTACTGGACCTGTGCGTCAAATAAAATGAAAATTCTGAATTAATAACTGTATTTTCCTTTCCTTTCCTTTCCTTTTTTGATACGTTTGATATTTCAGAGTTAACATCAAAATTCTTCCTGAGTTAGAAGAAATAAATTCAGTCTTCTGGGTAAAACAATCCCTATAGGACTGGTGAAATTCAAGCTTTAAAATTGTATGCACTGTAAAATATGGTTCACTGCAGAATGATGAAATGCTTAAGAAAGGATAGGTACAATATAAATGAAAATTCTGAATTAATAACTGTATTTTCCTTTCCTTTCCTTTCCTTTTTTGATACGTTTGATATTTCAGAGTTAACATCAAAATTCTTCCTGAGTTAGAAGAAATAAATTCAGTCTTCTGGGTAAAACAATCCCTATAGGACTGGTGAAATTCAAGCTTTAAAATTGTATGCACTGTAAAATATGGTTCACTGATGAAATGATGAAATGCTTAAGAAAGGATAAGTACAATACAAGAGTATATGAGGGACTGGACATTGCCTAAAAATATGTGTTTGTAATTGTGGTTGAGGTAAATTGTAGAGGTTGGAAAAATTAAGTGGTTTACAGCTATATAATAATGATGTTTGATAAAGAAGCATTCATTGCAGGTAGTGATGAGAAGTGTAATGAGCACACCTTTTCCTGATGGATTCCTTTATAAGCCTTTTGGGGAATATATCACATTATGGTGTGTTTCCACAGGGTATTTTGTGAGCAGAAACTTTCTTCACAAAGGAAAACCTGCATGGGCAGCCACCCTGGTTTCCTACAGCTTGACCCTGGGACAAAATTTGCCCAAGGAAAGTTTCAATAAGAAGGCAGATTTGATGCCAGTCCCACATAACAAGGGGATGAGTAAAAAAAACCAAAACACTTCAGCTTCCTCTGCCCCTCACTGGATACCAGTTATTGCCACATCTGTGCCACCTCTGCATTTTGTGGGGCCACTTCTATGAGGCAGATCAATGGATTGATCCCTGTTAAGAGTAAGCAGGCAAAAAAATCAATTAACACACTGAAAGTAATTTCATAAAATAAATCAATTTGCACCAATAAAGGAGCAATTAAAAACTGGTGGGCAATCTCACCCTTTGGGCTTGAAAAAAATAGACCTGTGCTGATGTGAAACAGCATGGTTTCAATAAATACCAACTGTCAGTTGTTCTTTTGTTTGCAGTTTAGGAATCCCTTCTGTTCCTGAGAATACAAAACAAACCCCAAAGCAAGCAAGATACCTTTACTCTGCTTTTCATATAAGTAAACAATCTGGACTGAACAGGGCACTGGCCAGCTTTATTTAACAACTGCTGAGAGTAGAAAATAGCTGTAACTCTAATGAACACCTTTTAACTACAATCAATTTCATCTTCTGAGGTCTTCATGACAGATAAAGAGCAAATTACTGGTACACATTAACAACTTGAGAAGCAAATAGTCCCATTAAAATATTTTGCCAGTGTTCATAAACCATTGCTTCCCAGAATTCCATCCCTGTCAAATAAATAACTTTTTGTTCCCTATTAAATACAGAGAGCACAG